TGATGCTACCCATGACACATCTGCTCCTTTAGAAATTATTCATTCTGATGTTTGGCAATCACCTGTTCTTTCAAACCTTGGTTTTAAATATTATGTGTTTGATAATGATGCTTTTAATCAACATTTTCTTAAGCATGGAATTTGATTTAGAAAATCTTGCCCCAACACCCCTGCTCAAAATGATGTCACTGAGTGAAAACATAGACATCTACTCGAGTTAACTAGGACAATATTAATTGATTCTTCCATTCCTAGTCGCTTCTGGGTAGATGCTCTTTACACTGCAATATTTATTAATAATCGTTTTCCTACAACTATTTTGAATGGGGTTACACCATATCAAATTTTTTTTAATAAAGTACCTGATTACAATTTTATGCGTGTTTTTGGTTGGTCTTGTTTTCCAAATTTTATTGCTATCTCAAACAACAAACTTTCACCACGCTCTAAGCATTGTGTCTTTCTGGGATATGCTCCAGGGTATAAAGGTTACCGCTGTCTATCCCCTTCCACCGGCCGGGTATATGTTAGTCGTGATGTTCTTTTTCATGAAACTTTTTTTCCATACCCATCCTGGGCATGCAAACCCAACTCCCCTACACCTACTCTATCACCATCATGGCTCTCATCCTCGGTTCAGCCATCCCACCACCTCCCTGCACTGCCTGACACGTTTCCCAACCCCTCACCGCCGGTAGAATCCCACAACCCAACCGTATAGACCAACATTCCAGTGTCCATACTTCACCAACACTGCCTGCAACTTTGCCCGACCTCCAACCTTAATTCACTACCACATCTCCAGTCATGTAGCCTGGCCGAAACCACCCCTCCTTCACCTCTCCCCAGTGTCAGCCCTCAACTCACACCGCCACTCTCTCCATCCTTCTCTCCCAGCCCTCCTACTATCCTTAACATCCATCCCATGCGCACATGTGTCAAGGATGGAATTTTTAAACCCAAAACTATTTTTACCTTAGGTATCTTCAATCCCCCGGATGATCCTACTTGTTTTACACAGGCTAATAAGAGTTTTGTTTGGCGGGCTGCCATGTCTGATGAATTTAATGCCTTGATTAATAATAAGACTTGAGATTTGGTACCTTGGGACCCTACTAAAAATGTGGTTGGTTGTAAATGGATTTATAAGACAAAATATTATTCCGATGGGTCTGTTGAGCGTCATAAAGCTCATCTTGTTGCTCAGGGTTATAAACAACAGGCTGGTATTGATTTTATTGAAACTTTTAGTCCTGTTGTTAAACCCACTACTGTTCGTCTTGTTTTGTCTGTTGTTGTTTCTTTGGGCAGGTCTGTTCGGCGGTTAGATGTGAAAAACGCATTTTTACATGGTTATCTAACTGAGAAAGTTTATATGCGTCAGCCTCAGGGCTTTATTCATCCATCTTATCCTTATCATGTGTGTCGTCTTCGTAAGGCTCTGTATGGTTTGAAACAAGCTCCTAGAGCTTGGTTCCACCGCTTCAGTGGTTTTTTATTGAGTCGTGGTTTTTCCCAGAGTAGGTCTGATTCTTTACATTTTTATATGTGGATGACATTCTCATAACTGGCTCCTCCTCATCTTTCGTTTCATCTGTTATACACATACTATCTCTCCAGTTTGCTATGAAGGATTTGAGGGACATCCATTATTTTTTAGGTGTTCAAGCCCAACGCACACCTAAGGGTCTTTTTCTGTCGCAGGCTAAATACATCTCTGACCTTTTACGTCATTTTCATCTTCATACTGTCAAACCTATGGGCAGGTAGAGAACGCCAACCGGACCTTGCTCGAGGGCCTCAAAAAGAAGCTGGAGGCCGAGGGTGGTGGCTGGGTGGAAGAACTTCACAACATCCTCTGGGCCTACCGCACTACCCCTCGACGCGCTACAGGTGAAACACCCTTCTCCCTCTGCTACGGCTTTGAAGCCAAAGCTCCTACGGAAGTCACCCTTCCTACCCGAAGGGTGATCCAATATGACCCCGAGGTCAACGACAGCAACATGGCCCTCGACCTGCACCTCATTTCAGAACGCCGGGAGCAGGCCTTCATCCGGGCAGAAAACTACCGAAGGCAAGTTAAAAGCTACATCGACGCCAAAGTTCGAACCCGGGAATTTCAAGTAGGGGACTATGTCCTCCGGAGGAGGGAAGCCAGCCAACCAACCGAGGGAGGAAAAATGGCACCAAAATTCGAAGGCCCCTACATCATAGCAGCCATCATCAAACCCGGGACTTACAAACTCAAACACCCCAACGGGAAAGAGGTCCCTAGGCACTGGAATGTACACCATTTAGTTAAATTTTATCAATAATGTAAGAGCGGCATGGCCCTCATAACTAGTGAATGTACTATCCAATGGCCCAAGGCCTCCAATTTCGAAGAATGAAGATACATTCAAGACATCAAGCCCTCATACTGACTACAGGCCCCACGCCTCACCACAAGAAGAACCCCCTCCGGTACCCATTGCCGAGGGCGGACACCATCAACACCTACAACATACAGTGGATACACCACGTGTTTTCAGTCAAGACCCCTCGGCACCCAGTGCCGAGGGTACTTCCCCACCTTCAACATCAAAAAAGAAAAGATTAGAACACCAAGTGTTCCTACAGAAGACCCTTCGGCACCCAGTGCCGAGGGTACACCTCCCTCATCAAAGATCGAAACGACAAAAAAAACACCAAGTGTTTCAAAGAAGACCCCTCGGCACCCAGTGCCAGGGATATGCTCTCCTAACAGCTTCCAAACATCTATTGGGAAACACCAAGTGTTTCATTTGAAGACCCTTCGGTACCAAGTACCGAGGGTAGACGCCTACATCAACTACAACAAGAGAACACCAAGTGTTCCTACAGAAAACCCCTCGGTACCAAGTACCGGGGGCTACACATCGAAACTAACACCAAGTGTTGTTTCTAAAAGCCGTACCCCACGAGGACGCATAGACCGAAGGCGCCACCATCGGTGCCGGCGGCACGTAGTGCCCCCGGCCATTTGCAACTAGTGTGCAAATGAAAACCTTTCCTTGAAACGCTTTCCGCGTCACTACCCCCAGGGTATGACAGGCATGAGAAATGCCCAGGATTCGACTTTCAAAAACGGAACGCTATCCGCGTCATTACCCCCAGGGTATGACAGGCATGAGAAATGCCCAGGATTCGACTTCCAAACTGAAACGCTCCCCGCGCCAACACCCCAAGGGTGTGGCAGGCCACAGACCATGTCTAGCGCCGAGGGGACGACTTTCAAAAATGAGGCGCTTTCCGCGCCATCCCCCAAGGGGAGGCAGGTTACGGACCACCATATCTTGTGCCCAGGAAACGTCCCTCGATCCCTCGGCACTCGGAAGGTTAACCCGAGGGAGGAGAGCCATTGGTGTATTCTGATGGTCTCCTAATAGGCCCAACCTTACCAAGAAACCAAGTTTCTTGATGCCTTCCCTTCACCACCAACCAAAAAAAAAAAAAAAAAAAAAAGAGGGGGTGAAGGGGAGTAGACTCAGCGAGAAATCGAAGAGTACACTCCAACAATATCACAGCATGCCGAGGGCTCCCCACGGGAACACCTCCGGTAATTGAAGACTCCTATTTCCCGAAGGATACTACTCAAAGAAATATCATCAGGAAACGGCTAAAGTCCACTACCTGGTCACCTCCGGTCACAAAACATCGAAGGCTTCAACAATACAAAGGGACTGGACTGTCCAAGGTCCACTAAACAGTACTTCAAACAAACACCGAAGGCATCTGTTATGCACGAATACCGAGGGCCCTTTCCCCATGACAAGGGTCAAATTCTACAACTTTTAAAGTGTATGCCGAGGGCACACTCCTCATTGGCTTTCTTCACAACAACATGATTCAACATCAATTTATGCTTAGAAAAATCCTAAGTCCTGAAGGAGCAGCCCCCGGGCACCCGAAGGCTACACAGGGAAGCAGCACTACAAAAAATTCTAAGTCCTAAAGATGGAGCCCCCGGCCCAGTCAATATTACAGCCAATGGAATATGGTGGCCGAAGGCCATGCAATACAACAACACTTAAAAAAAGGGTATTCCGTCCTGAATGAGTAGCCCCCGGGCATCTCGCAAAGTGGTGTGGAATCAGAGGGCACCTATCACCCAAAGGCACCCAAGGAAGATTTATACTTAGAAAATTTTCTAAGTCCTACATGTTTTTCCCCGGTCAACTACTCATACATCAAGGAGGGATGCCATCTCCCGAAGGCTCCCAAGGGAAATTTACACTCAGAATATTTTCTAAGTCCTACATGTTTTTCCCCGGTCAACTACTCATACCTCAAGGAGGGATGCCATCTCCCGAAGGCTCCCAAGGGAAATTTACACTTAGAAGATTCTCTAAGTCCTACATATTTTCCCCCCCGGACAGCTACTCATACATCATGAAGGGATGCCAACTCCCGAAGGCTCCCAAGGGAAACTCTACACTTAGAAGATTTTCTAAGTCCTACATATTTCGCCCTCATCTCGAGGGACCTAATTGTCGAAGGCTACCTATCAATCGAGGGCTACGGTACACAAGTAATCAACACTCGAGAAAATCTTCTAAGTCCTAAAAGAATTAGCCCCCGGCCTATTCAATATTACGGGTGGGGCTCCACAGTAGCAGAAGGCAACCTGGCATACTACACTTGCAAAAATCTCTAAGTCCTGTGCATTGGGCCCTCGACCCAACATTCACACATCAGGAAGGGAGGCCATATCCCGAAGGCTCTCAAGGGGAAATCTACATTTAGAAATTTTTCTAAGTCCTAGGACTTGGATTACTGCAAACACCCGAAGGCCCTAATGTGTGCTACACTTAGAAAAATTTTCCAAGTCCTAATTGCTGCCGAACCATCGGTCGCGTATCCAGCAGAGGGTGCCCAACTACCGAAGGCTCCTAAGGGCTAGCCACAATCAGATAGTATTCTAAGTCCTAGACATACATTCAAAAATACCGAAGGCATACATTCAAAGGAGAGAGCATACATTCAAAACATAAGGCGTATTCGAATATGAAAAGCCCGGAGGCAGCATGCATTTCATCAAAAACAAGAGTAAGTGTGAATTTACAAACGGGCCGAAGCCGAAGGAACAATGTTGTTCATTACAAAAGATGTTCAAAGATTTCTAAGTACAAAATCATTCCACGACTACGACAGCATTGTTCACTGGGGCGCCCTCTACAGCTGGCCTCGATGATGCCTCCGCTCCGGTCTCGACAGCGTCGTCCTCGGCCTCATTCTTCAACACCGTATCCTCAAGGTCGGGCCTCTGAACACCTTCCGGGAGCGGCTCACGAACATCAGGCTGCAAGGGGGGAAGACCATACGCCGAGGGGGAGAAGTCCTTTTGCTCGATGCCCAAATGCCGGGCCATCCTCCGGTAGATGAGGGCCTGGGTGAAGAACTCGCCGGCTTCATAGTACTCTCTGCCCTTCCGGGCCATCCATTCCCACCCAGGGCCCTCGGCCCATTCTTCAATGCAGGCCTCCACGACCGAGGACACCCACATCTTGCGCCCCTCGACTCTCCAACCCTCGGCGACAAAGGCCTCAACGGCCTCCTCCTGAGCCCTGGCGACAGCTAGCGCTTTGGAGTCCTCGGCCTCTTTAGCAGCTCTCCTGGCGGCGGCCTCAGCATCAGCCTTGCCTTTCTCTGCAGCCTCCAGTTTCAAGCTCATCTGCCGGAGCTCCTCTTCTAGCTGGGCCCCCAGCTTCACCGCCTCCTGGTTCTTGAGGAGGCACTCCCTCATTCTGGCGTCTTGCTCCGCTCTGTGGAGGCGCCATTCTTGAAGCCTCCGAGCCTGTTCGCCGAGGGCTAAGCAAGCCTGCAGAACAACAACAAAAACAGTTAAAGGCAATCACACAAAAATAATCAAAGGAGAAGATGGAGAAAGCCAGGTAAACACTTACAGAGAGGGAGGAGCGGAGAATGTGGTCCTCGAGGGCCGCATCATTGTAGGCCCCGAGGGCAGCCCTATCCGTCTCAGGGGTCATACCCCTCAGGATGGCCCCCGGGTCGACGGCGCCGCTGGCCAAAGACATACCCCTCGGGAACGCAACTGTGAGGATCTCAGGCAGCGACTCCTCTGCCCCCGCCGGCGTTCCAACCGGCAGCTTCTCCACCTGCACCCCGGAGGCGGGGGGCTCATCAGCGATAATGACCGAGGGTTCCTTCTCGGCGACATCCCCCTTTTTCGGCTTTTTGGTAGCCGGGGGGGACCCCTTGGCCACTGCCTTCCTCTTGCCGGCAGCGGCATCGCCCTCGGCTTTCTTAAAGAGGGCGGTGGCGGGCTTCTGGATGCCCTGTCCCGACCCCTTCGGGTCCTGTTTCTTCAAACGGGCAAGGCCCTTTACATTCACCATGGAGACGGGGATACCTGCACAGAGGAAACAAAGGGTTAGTCCGACGGGTCTAAGCGAAGGGACGATAACATCCAAGAAAGAAAAAAAAACTAAGTACAAAATTCTAAAGCCCTCGGCTCCTACCTCCGGCCCCTCCGAAGGCCTTGTTGAAGGGAGGGTACTTTTCATCGGTTTCCCCTATGAAGCGGTACCTCCGGAACCCGAGGGTGTACAAATCCTCCTCGAGGGTGCAGTCTTTGATCGCCACGTTCTTGTCTTTCCCCTCCGGGAACTTGGCCAGCTTTAGGCCGTCCTTCTCAAGAGCGGCACTCCGGATCTTTTCGTGCCTTCGGAATCGGTCACGTAGCTCCCTCGGGAAGGGGCTCTCATCCAACTTCACGTAGCACCAACGTTCCCTCCATCCTTTGTTGGAAGAAGGAGCATCGGAGAATAGTTTGAAGCGGGCAATCTGCTGCAGGTTGGCGTACCCCTCGCCGTTTTCGTGCCCCCCCCCGGCACAGATTAAAGCTCTGGAAGAATAGATCCAGGCTGGGTTTCACCCCTCGGGACTTGCAGAGCTGGAGGAACCCCGCAATGTAGGAGTGGCTGTTGGGCGTGAGTTGGCAGGGGACCAAGCCAACAAACCGCAGATATTCCCGGAGGAATGGGTGCAGAGGGAACCTGAGTCCCATGGAAACCGAAAGGACGTGAATAGCAATACACCCCTCGGGCGCCCTGGACAACACGTCGTCGGGACCTGGCTCCACCACTTCGGCCGAGGGCCCCACGTGCAGCTGAGTCACGTACAGATCTGCCCTGTCGGCCTTCGACCTGATCTCGAGGGCCTCAGTGTTCAGCCAGCTGTACCCCTCGGGCATGTCTACGGGCTTTCCTTGATCAACGGCCCTCTCCTTCTTCTTGGTAGCAGCCTTCTTCTTCTTCACACCGGAAACCGCCCTCAGAGGTATCGGATCCAACGGCCTCGAGCTACGGGCCTCCCCGGAACCCCGAGGGGGGAGGACAGCGATCGTAACCTTCGAGCTCTCATTCTGTGCCTCATCCTCCGCTGTCTGCCAGGCGAGGGCTAAGTCTTCATCGTCACACTCCTGCTCGAAGCCCTCGGCTTCAACCTCCGCAGTGAGTTCCTTCTGGACCTCCCGGGCCAAGGCTGCATCACCACAATCCGAGGGCTGACCACTGCTTGACTCCACATCGGAGATGCCTTCGTCCTCCATCGAGGGCGTCCTCGAGATGTCCTGAGAGTCACTCTGGGACGACATTCGCACCATTGTTCGAGGGCTCGTGGACGGTAGTGTTTCCTAACTTTTCTATCTCCTAAACTAAGGGCACAGTACAGCTATGCTAGAAGGAGAAAGGCAGGGAGCACTGACCTCGAAAGCTGAGTTTTGACCGAAGGCTGAACTTTCTCTCTCTAGAAAAATTGACAGAGCTTCGCTAACAAGTTTATCGCACACGGAGGAATGCCTGGCCTTGGGGTATTTATAGGCGATGAATCCGGGCTTGGGCCTGGATTCCGGGCCTCCGGATGGACGCCATCATGACACACCGCCGTTTCACCCAACCGGTGACGCCGCCCACGGACAACCAGCCATCACACGCCACGTGTGCCACCCCCCCAACGGCTATATCCTGTCGTTACATATTCCAACGGCTATATTTTCAATGGCTATATTTTGGGAACCCCCGGGTTTTTTACTTCACTCCACTTCATCAAGGATAGCCTCCGGGTGCACCCACCCAGAAGTGCCCTCGGGTTGTGCCCCACACCGCACATTACACACGCCTTCGGGATCACTCCTTCAGATCCCTAGGGCTGCATATCAGGGTACCCCTCGGGGTTTTCCCCTCAGCACCGCAAAACCGGGTAGCCCCCGGGGAGTGCCTCATTGACGGATGGCCCATGGCCCTCGGGTATCTTAATCACCACTTCATCAACAAACAGTGGACCTCCCGGTAACAGCTTCACTGCTGCCCTTATCTGGCAGGCCCTCGATCCCTGGATTGAGGGGCTCCCCTTCGGCGCCACCAGGACATCAACAGCCAGCCTTCGGCTAATCAACACAGGAGCCCTCAGAAGAGAGAGCCTTCGGCATTCCCGCCATTCTCCATTTTTTACCAAGGTTTGACATTTTCGATTCATCATTGGGGGAATTCGGTGCACTCTTTTTCCCTCATTAGGATTTTTTCCCAAAGGGTTTTTCCTAATGAGGTTTTTAACGAGGCATCCCCCCAAAATGAAACGAAAAACGTCAGCCTTCGGCCCACAACAGCAACGTAACTACTTTACTCCTTTTCACCACATTACAAGTGCCTCAAGGAGTGGGGGACTGGAGGACCCCTTCGGGAAAATCATTAAATTACAAAATCTGTGAAATTCCAACAAACAACAAAGCAAGCCCTCAAGTCCCGACATGTGGGTAACTGAGGGACTGCCTTCGGTAGGGACATAAAAGCAACAACTCCTCACCAACTTCAGGGATCACGACAGGACAACATCAAAAGGCAAGCACAAATTACTCCTTTTCCCTCAAGTACCTTTCGGCAAAAGGAGTGAGGGACTCCTGATGGAGTATATGGCCCGGGAACCCCCGGCCCACAGACTCCTACTACTCCATCAAAGGCCCAACAGGCCCGAATCACAGCGCCCAGAGTACCAAGCAGTCCGCATAACGCACAGGGGTGCCTTCGGCCACCTGGCCGAAGGCTTCAAATTATCACAGAGCGGGTTTCTCAAGCAAATTAGGAAACTGGGAGAAAACGGCGAAAAAAGTAGCCCTCGACATTGTGAGCCCTCAGCACCAGGGTGCCATCAGGTGGGAGAGCCCTCGGTCACTGCTCTATAGCCGAAGGCACCTCACTCGACAAGATATCTGCCTCACATGCGTACAGATCACCGTACCCCGCACAGACGTCCCATCCAACAGCCGCATTAAATGCGGCCACATGCGGCTGCCAGCGCCAACCAGTTGAGGTGACCCCTCGGCCAATGAGCGCTTGACACGTGTCCCTGCCCGGCATTTATTGCTGCTATAAATAGCCCCCATTTCCCCATTTGTAACCACGCTAAAAACGCTAAATACATATCGAATATACACTTTCTCTCTTACTTGTTCGCTCTGACTTCTCTCTAAGTTATTCCCCGTAATAACCCTTCGGATATATACCCCCGGGTAGACTATCCATCACCCTTTATGCAAATCCGCCCCTAGCCGCACAAGCAGACATGCAATGAAGCTGTAGAGCCACGCCGCCGCTGTGCGCTCGTCGCTCAGTCTCGTCCCGCCACCATACCTCCTTCGTCCGCCTTTGAATTGTTCAGCAAGTTTTCTATTTTCCCATTTTTCCCTTTTAACTAAATTAAATATTTGGTATTTCATTATTAAATTTTTACAATTCATAAATAAGATTTGAATTTTGAAGTATATGTAATGTAAAATAGTTTCAATTAAACCTAATGATTATGTAATAATGTATTCTTGGTATAAAATTATGAATTTATAACAGTTTGAAAAGATTATTTGTATTTTTGGTAATTATTATTAGGGAATGTCAATTAGGAAATATTTTCCTCGAACAAAAGCACCGATAAATTCGGGTGCTAGTTCTCCAAATGTTTCTGTCCGAGCTACACCTATAGATACACATGGTAGTGAGAATGAGATTAGGATTAGACAATCTATTGGTGATGGAAATATGATTACAAATAGTGATCGAAGGGAGAAAAGATCTAGATTAGATAATGAGCTTGAGAATGATGTAATTGGCGATCCGGGCTTAAGAAAAACAATACAAGATTATGAACCATCGATTAGGGATGCCGTAAGAAGAGAATATGTTGTAAATGGTGCTTGTCAACTACATTCACATGATTTCCCACAAACTATGTTTGGAAAGAAATCTAGGTCGTATCAAATGGAATGGTTTACAAAATGGGAATGGTTGGAATATAGTGTGTCTAAAGATGTTGCATTTGCTTCTGGTGTTATTTGTTTTAAGGAGATGGTGTTAATAGATTCGACAATGAAGTGTTTGTCAAAACAGGTTTTCATAATCGGAAAAAGGCCCTGAAAAATTTAGAGAGCACGTGGGAGTCGTTGACAGCGCACACAACGATGTTAGAACTAAGTTTTTTGCTTTTATGGATCAAAGGCAAAGTTTGAAAAGGAGTGTAGCAGTCGCTAAACACAAATTAGAGGTTGCTTATCATGTTTGCCTCACGGCTATTTTGGATATTGTTCGATTTCTTCTTGTGCAGGGACTAGCTTTCTGAGGGCATGATGAGCATGAATACTCAGCCATCAAATGTATTTTTTTAATACTTCTTAATTGGTATAGTACAAGGAATGATGAAGTTTCGAAAGTTGTGAAGGATAATGCACCAAACAATCATCAACTTACTAGTCCTGCAATTCAAAAAGAACTTGTTCACGTTTGTGCCTATGAAACTAGGAAAGTGTTAATAGGTGAGATTGGGGAAAATTACTTTTCTCTATTAGTTGATGAGGCTTGTGATTCATCTATAAAGAGCACATGCATATTATTATTAGATTTGTGAATGATAATGGAGCAGTGATGGAGTGTTTTCTTGGTCTCGTTCTTGTTGTTGATACTAGTGTTATCGGCCTATTTCTTTGAAATGTGCCGTAGATGATTTCTTTTCCAAACATGGTTGGTCAGTTCCTAAATTACGCAGTCAAGGGTATGATGACACATCGAATATGCGTGGTGAGCTTAAACTCTCATTTTGAATGAAAATCAATGTGCTAGATATATACATTGTTTTGCTCATCAATTGCAAATTAATGTTGTCTAAGTTTCAGCGGTTAATCGCTTTGTGAATGATTTCTTTGAATTTTTGAGTATGATTACTAACATGGTTAGGGCTTCTTGCAAAAGAAAAGACGAGCTCAATACAAAAGGAAAAGTTAGTGGTAATGTTAGAGAAAAGAGAAATAGAAATGGGGAGAGGTTTAAACCAGGAATGCCCCTTGACATAGTCAGGGGTTAAACGGTGGGGTTCTCATTATACTACCATCTTCTGTATCCTATTATTATGGTCTCTCACTCTTGAAGTACTACGTAAGATATATGACGATGGTATTGATTTTAAAAGTAGAGGATTGGCAGGGAGCTTAATTGAGAAAACAGAGAGTTATTATTTTGTTTTTGTTACTCGTGTGATGAAAAATGTATTAGGCTTAATATATGTTTTGTCTAAATTTTTGCAACAAAAAGATCATAATATTCTCGAAGCTGTTAATTTAGTTCAGACTATGAAAGAAAAGCTGCAAGAGTTGAGGAAACTGGATGGGAAAGTCTTGTTAATGATGTGAACAAGTTTTGTGAGAAACATGGTATCACAATTATTAATTTGGATGATTCTACTACACATTTTCGGTCAAGGTATGTTGGAGGCAATAAAATTAATTATCATTATCTTTGGTATGAGATTTTATATGAGGTAAAAGTAAATACTTTACTCTATTTATTATATAAGATTTTAATTCATATTTAATAGTCTATTTATTTTTACTTTAATTTGATATAGGTCATCGACAAAATTCAATTGAAGATGGACAATCGCTTTAGTGAATCTGGGACACAATTACTTAAGTGTGGGCATGTCTTGATCCTAAGAATTATTTGCCCAATTTTTGTGAGGCGAAGTTAATTGAGCTTGCAACATTGTATCCAAATGATTTCACAAATCTAGATCGCATGAAACTTGAAGAACAACTTCAAATTCGGATCTCTGAAATGAAAAGGAATGCAATATTTTCCAATTTGCAAAATATTGGAGAGTTATCTGAGAAGATGGTTGAAGTTGGATTTCATACCATTTTCCACCCAATTTACTGTCTGATTGTGTTGGCACTAGTTTTGTCTGTTGCCACATTTACAGTGGAAAGAGCCTTTTCAGCGATGACGATTGTCAAAACCTATTTACGTAATAAAATGGGAGATGATTATCTTACTGATTGTGTAGTGTGTAACGTAGAAAGAGATGTGTTTAGACACATCAATAATGAGGTTATTATCCAACATTTTCAGAACATGAGGACCCGTAGGTTGGATTAGCATCATTACATTGACGCTTTTGATTAAATTTGTAATATTTCGTTGATGTGGTTTGCTAAGACAATGTTATTAATTAATGTGATGGTTTACGTAATGTGATTGTGCTCCCTTAAATTATGTTCTAGTTCAGCCACTGGTCCCATGGTTATCGCTTGCCATGGGAAGGACGAAGGCAGAGTATCGAACAGGGAATATGAGCCATGTTCTCCAGTGGTGTACGACTGAATCGGCATTTGGAAGGGAGAACAAGTAAGCGGTGGAGCTATCGTGAAGATGGTGGCTGCTCTGGTCGACTACACTGCTGCTACATGCGTTGTGCTGGAAGAGTCGATGTCGACGGTAGAGGCTGCCGTTGGAGAAGAAGCCGCAACAGACATAGGCTCCATGTGCAGTTGTGCACAGCGGAGGTGGTGTTGGCCGTATGCATAGCTGCGATGGAGATAGGGTTTTTAAAGAGAGAATATTAAGGCGTAACTCTTGATACCATGTGAAATCTATGTGAAATAATAGATTGGTGAAAGAATATGATAGATTTGTGATTTTGATGATAGTTTTGGGATAAAATAACTTAATAATCCTAATATTCAACACCTAAAGTTTTCCACTTCGTTCAAAGTTTTCATTTAAGCTTTATCGTTGTATCTATGCTGCTATGCATACACAAGTTATCAATGTAATATTTTTCATGTCTCATTTCATATAAGTTGTTTAATTTGTTATATTCTTTTTAATGCAAATTATATTATCACAGTGACTAATGTAATTAATACTCCCTCCGTCCCTTAATACTTTGTCATCTTTCCTTTTTGGGACGTCCCAAAAAACTTTGTCACTTTCCCTTTTAATCAATTATTTTGTGGTTTCTGTTATATCTCTCTCCTCTTCACAAACCCCAACCACACAATTTTTACTTTATTATTCTCCGTGGCGGTCAACTTTGGCAAAGTTTTAAGGGACGGAGGTAGTACGAAGTATTGTATGAGATGAACATGATCAATTTGTGAGCAATTAGAAACAAAAAGAAACCAGTTTCCACATATACAGGGTAGAAGTGTAGGACAATGTTGTATTTAGGGAAAGAGTCAAATAAGCCCTCAAACTAACTTAAAAAGTGCAATCACCCATTATGTAGGAGGCTTTGTCCGGCCGTCGCCATTTGGGACGGTTTTCGGTGGAATTTTTTTTATGAAAGTTTTTAACTGCGTTGTTTAATTGCGCAGTTATCTTCAAAAATTCATTTGATTGTCTTTCCGATTGAATATTTAGCTGAAATTTTGTATGAGTAAACTAGAATTAATGAAGAAGATGCTCAAAAAATTTCATCAAAAAATTCCACCGGTAACCGCCCCAAATGGCGACAGCTGGACGGAGCCTCCTATATAAGGGGTGATTTGCACTTTTTAAGTTAGTTCGACAACCTATTTGACCTTTTGCCCTTCATGTTTATTTACCATTTCTTTGATCCAACTGATTTCTCAACCGATTCAAAGGAGGCTTCGGCGCAGTGAGCAAGTAACAGTACAATTCAGCAAGTGACCCACCAAATTGGATCACTGACCCATTAGCTACTACCCCGAGCAGTCTCAAGTTTAAAAGACAAATTTCGCATGCATGTGATGTGTTTTCCTGGATCAAATTCTATTGGTAGAAAAAGCTGTACATAACAAGTTACACACGTTGTACTATGCTACCATCCAAACAGGTCCAACATACGACTGTAGTATTACAGTAACATTTTCCTCCCAATTTCTTCTGCATGTGTAAGCAAAACTATTTATATTATATACTTCTCCTCAACAAACACACCCTTATCTCTGCCTCACCACTTAAACTCCCAAACATGGCCTCCCCAATGAAAAACAGCAGCAGCAGAATTTCACTTGCCATGGAGAGAACTGGCCAATGGTATACAAAATTCGTTTTGAATTTAATCAATTTCAGCAAAATAAACTAAGTATAATTTCAATTTGTTCATCTTTAAATTGACAGGGTTTTCTCTCAGGATATCCCAGCCGATGTCACAGTTCAAGTCGGTGGAGTCACATTTTCTCTTCACAAGGTACAAATAAGCTGCCATTAATTAGTTACCAATTCGAACTCAGGAGGAGTAGCTCAAGATTTTAATAATGTAATTAACTAGATTTTATTAACAGTTTATGCTGGCGGCAAAGAGCGATTTCATAAGAAAGTTAATCCTAGAGCACAAAGAAACAGATCTAACGAGGATAGATCTGTCGG